TCAGCTCTTCCACTGAGGTCTTTGGTCCATTTTGAGTTACCTTTTGTTGTTTGACTGCTACCAGAAGGCTGGTGGTCCAAACCCACCAGCCGCTCCTCGGAAGGAAGACTGCGCAATGTACTTCCGTAGTGATACTGCCTGGGAAACCCAAGGAGGGGTCGCTATCAGTCAGATCTGACTCAAGGGCAGTGAGTTTTTTTTGTTTTTGTTGTGGTATGAGGAAAAGGACCCAGCTTTATTCTTTTTCTTTCTTTCTTTTTTTTTTTTTATTAGGATTTGGGTGAAGATTTACAGAGTAAATTCACTTTTCATACAGCAGTTCACATATACTTTGTCTCATGTCATTGACCAAAATTTACAATGCAGCAGCTCCCCTCCGACTTCCTCCCCATAGTTACCTCCTCCCAGTGCCCATCCCTTCATACTCTTCTGCACCCTGAGCTATCTCCCTGTGCATAAGCAGCCCTTCCTTCTCCCATGATTGTTCTCTTCAGGGCATGTGTCTACTTGAGGTAAATGTTTAACTCACATGCCTGTACTCTGCTTGGCTGGAAACCACAGTTGTGGGTTCAATTCCAGACCTGAAGGGCAGCTAGGGGCCATAGTCTCAGTGGTTACACCAGGCTCCATTGGACCAGCAAACCTGGTCCCCACCTTCTTTTTTTTTTTTTTTTGCCCCCAAATGATTTTGAGTTTTGTACCACATTGTTCTGCCTCTTTATGCAGGATCTCCTACATCCCTTCCAAGTGGATGGCAGTGGTAGCTGGGCACCATTTAGTTCTTCTGGTCTCATAGTTGTATAGGTTGCAGATCGGATGGTGTACCAGTCGCTAAGACTGATTGTTTCCATTAATTTTGGTTTTCTTCTTTCTTCTTGACGAGGAGAGACCCGTTGTTGCATCTAGATGGCAGCTTCCTAGCTTTTAAGGTCCCAGTCGCTACTCGCCAAAGTAGTAGGTGGAACAATGTTTTGTATAGTATGTTATGCCAATTGAGCTTGATGTCCCCTGCGACTATGGTCCCAAGCCCGCAGGATCAACTACTTGGTCGCTCTGGGTAGCTGGCTGTGACCAAGTAATGACCATAACCTTGCCCCTTGTCAGCTTTACTATACACCTGGGAATTCTGATCATTCACATGAACTTATAGGCCCATTGTCTGCCAACCCTATATATGATCTTGGATACACTCTCCATTTAGACATACCTAATTGTTTAGCTTGTTCACCCATCTATCCGTCCCTATACCCATGTTTGCTTTCACTGACAACTCAGTACTGTATATGCAAAGGGGTTCATATTTGTTGTCTGTACTGCCCATGTAACTCTCTATGTCTTTCTCATCCTCAATGCTGCCATATTGGTCACTCACATTTGGTACATTGCCCTTCTCTTCACCCAAATCAATATTTATCTCTATCTATCTAACACCCAGCTTTATTCTTTTGCATGAGTATATCCATTTTTTGAAAAGACCATTCTTTCCTTCATTGGATTATCTTGGTACCTTTGTTGAAAATCAACCAATCAATCAAATCAAAATCAAAGCCCTCACTAGGGAGCTCTGGTGGCATAGTGCCTAAGGCATTTGACTGCTAACCAGAAGGCTTGCAGTTCAAACCCACCAGCTACTCCTCAGGAGGAAGGTTGGGCAACTACTTCCATAGTGACACTGCCTCGGAAACCCAAGGAGGGTTCACTATGAGTCAGATCCGACTTGACGACAGTCAGTTTTTTGAGTTCACCATCGCCACTTTATGGAGTTCTGGGAACCTCCCACTGTAACTTGTGTTTTATTTCACACATTGAGAGGTACTTCCTTCTATTCACACCTGTATCCTTGCTAGACTTTAAGTAACTTGAGTATAGGACCCATGTCTTATAGATCTCTGTATTCTCCATGCCTGGTATATAGTAGATGCTCAATAATTACTGCTTGGATGGTACCCATAGGTGATTTGTTTTCTATTTTCTCCAAATATTTGTTGATGTTATTACATTGTTTGTGACTGTTATAAAAAGAATGGGACTTCTTTGCAGAAACTGACAAACTATTCTAAAATTCAGAGGGAAATTCACGGAACTAGGAATAGCCACATCATCTTAAGAAGAACAAAGTTAGAGGACTCACATTACCTGATTCCAAAACTTACTACAAAGTTAAAGTAACCAAGACAGTGGGGTATGGGCATAAGATGGGCATATAGATTAATGGAATGGACTTAAGACTGCAGAAATAAATGCTCAAATTTATTGCTCATTGATTTTCAACAAGGATGCCAAGATAATCCAATGGAGGAAAAAATAGTCTTTTCAAAAAGTGGATATCCCCATGCAAAATAATAAAGCTGGGCCCTTTCCTCACACCACAACAAAAGGTAACTCAAAAGGGACCAAAGACCTAAGTTTAAGAGCTAACGCCATAGGGGTAAATCTTTGTGTGCCTGGGTTAGGCTAACTTTCTTAGATATGACACCAACAGCATAAGCAGCAAAGAAAAAACCTGACAAATTAGGCTTCTTGCAAACTAAGCACTTTTGTTCTTCAAAGAGCATCATTAAGAAGATGGAAAGAAAACACACAGAATGGGAGAAAGTATCTAGATTTACAGCCAATAACATATAAAGACTTCTTACAGTTCAACAATAAAAAGACAAATAACCCAATTAAAAATAGGCCAAGGAGTTGAACATACAGTTCTCCATAGGAGATATAAACCAAAACCAAGCCAAATCCACTGCCACTGAGTTGATTCCAACTCACAGTGACCCCCACTGGGTTCCCAAGGCAGTAAACCTTTAGATTTAGTAGATGGCCTGATCTTCCTACAAATGGCCAATAAGCACATAGAAAGATGTTCAATACCTAATCAGCCATCGAGAAACCAAAACCAAAACCAAAACCAACCCCACTGCCCCTGAGTCGATTCCAACTCCTAGTGACCCTTTAGGACGGATTAGAACTGCCTGATAGGGCTTCTGTGGCTATAAAGATTTATGGAAGCAGACTGCCTCATCCTTCTCCTCTGGAGCAGCTGGTGGGTTCAAATCACCGACCTATTGGTTAGCAGCCTGGTAGTTTAACCACACCACTACCAGAGCTCCTCATTAGCTTCAAATTAAAACCATAATGAGCTACTTCACACCCACTGTCACGACTAGAATCAAAAAGAGATGTAATAAGTGTTGGTAAGAATGTGGAATAGTTTGAACCCTCATTCACTGCTAGTGGGAATGCAAAATGGTGTAGCCGCTTTGGAAAACAGCCCGACAGTTCCTCAAAAGGTTAAACATTCAGTTACCATACATTCAGTAATTCCACTCCCAGAATTGTTGTTGTTGTTGTTATATGCCATTGAGTCGGACCCGACTCATAGCGACCCCTCCTTGGGTTTCTGAGGCAATTATCACTACAGAAGTAGATTGCCCCATCTTCCTTACAAGGAGTGGCTGGTGGGTTTGAACCGCCAGCCTTCTGGTTAGCAGTCAAGTGCCTTAGGCACTATGGTACTAGAGCTCCCAGGAATTATCCAAGAAAAATGAAAACACATGTCCACTCAAAAACTTGTACACAAATATTCCTATCAGTATTATTCCTAATAGCTAAAAAATGAAATCTCAAACGTCCATCAACTGGTGAAAAGATAAATGAAAAGGAGTGTATCCATACACTGGAGTATTACTCAGCCATGAAAAGGAATGAAGTACAGATACACACTACAACATGGATGGATCTTGAAAACATTATCCTAAGTAAAACAAATTAGACACAAAAGACCACATTATTATATGATTCCATTTATGTAAAACATCCACAACAAGCAAATCAACCAAGACAGAAAGCCGATTAGGGGTTGCTTAGGGCTGGGAGCTTGGGAGAAAATTGGGAATGACTGCTAAAGTGTGTGAAGTTTCTTTGTGAGGTGATGAAAACGTTCTAGAGTTGATTGTGGTGATGGCTGCACAATTCTTTGAATATATTAAAAGCACTCACTTTAAATGGATGATTTGTCTTGTATGTGAATTATATCTCAATAAAGCTCTATTTTTCAAAAATAAAAAGAACAGTAAAATTGTCCCAAGTCTATATGTATCAGACATGTTCCTTTACTCTTGTGCTTTGCTCACACGTGTGTACAGCCAGACATGCAGAGACCTACTCCCCCACACACACAAATACACACACTCGACTCACAGGAGAACCACAGAATGACAGTGTTATAAAGGACCTCAAAAGTCAGAGAACTCTCCCTTTCTCTCCTCCCTCTTTACCTCCCCAGTTTTTAGATAAGGATCTCGAGGCCAACCGTTCCACAGGAATTAATGGCACCCGATGATTCTTCCTCACTCATTATTTCCCCAGAAGACTCTTTGGAAATGGATGGCATCTAATTTTTTCTGCATCCTCCATAGCATGTGGTGCTGCGCTAAGCCTAGTGAACACTCAACAGCTGAACAGAATGTGCTTCTCTGTTATCACTAGTAGGTAGGAGAAAGGCAGCACCTTTAAGCAGTAACAATGAGCTCTGGTGGTGTAGTGGTAAAGGCACTGGGCTGGTAACCAAAAGGTCAGTGGTTCAAACCCACCAGTGGCTCCATGGAAGAAAGATGGGGCAGTCTGCTTCCGTAAAGATTTGCAGCCTTGGAAATCCAATGGGGGTCGCAATGAGTCAGAACTGACTCGATGGTAGTAAGTTTGGTTTTTTGTTTGTTTAAGAGGAGAAGGCTGTAAGGATGAAGAGGGGTGAGAAGGAACATTGAGTCAAACCTAGCCCACCCCATCACATCTCCAAGAACAGAATCAAAGAATCTCAGAGCTGGAAAGGGAAAGAGAAAAATCGCCTAGAGAACCTACACTGTGGGCAGTGTATTCGCTGAAAGGATCTCGTTCTCCTCACAGCAGAAGTGACCAAGGCCCAGAGATGTGTTCAAGGTCACCAGACCGGCGAGTGTAGAAAGGAGTGTTCTGATGCCCAACCCCACAGTCCTTCCCCATCTCACCTTTCAGTCCCATCTGACTACCCAGGACCTTGGCATGGAATGTCTGAGTCTTGTTTCTTTCTGGACTATCTCCAAAGTTCAAGGTGGTCAGTAAGCCCACGACGTGAGGACCATGCCACTTCTCTGGGAGTGTTCCATTCACAGGGCACAGGGTCAGCTGGCCAAAAGACCTCAAGAAGGAGACCCAATCCTGTGTGCAAAAAGCATGAGAGGGAGGTGAGAATAGATTACTGGTAAGAGCAAGCCTGCAGTGGGAGGATGGGCTAGGTAGGATACTTACCTGAGGGATATCAGGGCTGCGCAGGCCAGTCTGGTGGGTGAGCAGGAATCTGCCGAGACCCAGGCCTGAGAGGCCAAGAAGCAGCAGGATCAAGGTGGCACAGACCAGAGGTGGGTGGTGAGCCAGACAGAGATGCAGGTTATGCCCTGCCTGGCAGCTGCCCATGGGGAGCAGAGGGCTCTGGGTCTCCACGGAGAGCCTGCTGGGGGACAGAGAGGTAGCACTGGACAAAAGCCTGCTGCACTCGTCCATTTTATTCAAAGACACGTTGAAGTGCACAGCAGGGAAGGGGCTTGCCCAGAGCCACAGAGTCAGTAGCAGAGCCAGGACCAGGATCCAAGGTTTTTGACTCCAAGTGTTCACTCGGTGCATCAGTCACTAAATGTTTGCTGTGCTTCATTTCTGAGGAAATCAATACGGAAGCAGAGCACCCTAAGTTGGCAAGAGGAACTCTAAAATGAGAATTCTCAGTGGGAAAAATAGGAAGCAGCTGCTTTGGGTTAGGGTCTGGCTGAAAATGCTTCAGCCAGAGCCCAGACAACAGAAGCCAAGGCTGTCTAACGAGAAAAGCTCCACTTTGGAGTCAAACTTCACTCGGTTTGAATCCTCCTCTGCCATTCATTGGCTATGCGAGACCAAGTCAGTGAGCCTCACGTAAAATGGGAATGCTAAGAACACCACGCCATGATTAATGTGGCAGTCTGATTAATGTGTATGCACTGGGTCATGCAGAAACTCAACAAATACCACTTTCTTTCTTTGTGTCATACTTGTCCCCAGTTAGGCAGGGCAAATACACCGTAGGGGAAACTGAGGCCCAGGGGCCTCAAGATACGATTCACTGGTAAGGCCAAGATTTGAAACCTGTCTCCTGCTTCCAAGTTGAGTGCTTTTTCAATGCTACCATCTTATCCCACGCGAGACGCGACAACCTAAAGAAAAGGAACATCTGGAAGGCGAGGAGATAAACACACGCG